AATAATAATTCTAGTAATTTCAGGTTTGTAATTAGTAAATTAACAAAAGTTTGTTTTGTTTTTTCAGTAAAAAAACTACGAGTGATAGCGATATATTCGGTATCAGCCAGGGCCACGAAACAGGCGCGGAAGTCGGAGAGGGATCATCAGATCGAGCATGCCTGTCGTCGCTGTTCGTGTACCGAGTGGCTAACGGGTGCGAGCGACGAACAGCGAGCACTGATGGCGAGTACTACATCGACTGCAAGGTGTACCGAGCTAACGACGCGCGCAACACCGACTCGCTGGAGCTGTGGAAGAAGGCAATCGTACGTATCAAACTCCAGGCCGACATAGACTCTCCTCAGTGGCAGAAACTGCAGGAGTTTGTCCGTTCTGCAGATGATTTGTTCCCTAACAAACCCATGTTTTATGATAAATAAATAATATGGTTTTATTTCAATTGATGTTTTTTATTTCCCTACATTACTAGGTACACATTACTAGGTACACATTACTAGGTACACATTACTAGGTACACATTACTACACATAGGTTCATATCACACCTCTGATACAGACTCAATTAAATATCGCAAAGTTGTGTTTATGACGATAAATAGTCGTATACATTCTATGTCACTGTCGAGTAAGAACACGGTTCAACAATAGATCGTACGTTTTACGATATAAATAGGTAGCGATAAACATCGTTTACCTTTTTGAACACTTTACGTTCTATACTATCATCGCGTTGTAAGCGATTGTAAATTGTGTTAGAAAAAAGTCGAGATACATAACATTCCGATCGACGACAAAAATGCATCGCATACCTCTAGCTAAAACCGAGTTGACCGTTTCATTAGTAGGTGCTCTTTCACGTTTATATCATTGTTCGAGTCGACCGTTGACGATTGGGCATTCTGAACCACCACTATGGCGAACTTGTTTCGCCGAGCGAAAAGTAGTCCAGAATGCCTAATCATATACTACTATCCAAAGTGAGAATAACTCGAACGATCGTCGGTCGAGTAGAGAGTCGAGTCGAGTATCGATTATTGGGCGTTCTATACCACTATCGGAAGCGAGGCGCACTCGCCGAGCGACTTGCCGATAGTGGTATAGAATGCCCAATAATATACTACTCAAGCCCCGTCACAGTCTCCCAAAACGGCTGCGACTACTCCAAGCCATGATCCAATCATTAAAATCCGTAAAGGTTAAGTCCGGCGCGAGAATTGTTATGAAAGCTGAACTAACTAATCTGTTTTCCCTGGTGATGATAGTTAAAAAGTAATCATAGATGAATAATAAAGTATCCAAATAAACCAACAAACGTTGTAGGTACGGAGAATGTGTAAATGAGCTCTTACTGATATAAAAGGACTAAATGAGCGTTCGTGGAAGTACACTGCCGAACCGAAAACCATTTATTTAATTGTGCGGAAAAAAAGACCGAAGATATAGGAAATTTCATTAAATTCTTGGAATCATAGATTTATACATTCCAATGAATTTGTTTACTGGTGAGTGAATTTGATATAATTTTCACTGAAGGCGTTGTGATGTTTAAATTAATGTGCGCCGCGACTTTATTCTTGTAATATAGAAAAATATTTTTAATACAATAGTAATAATAGGCTTTTTTTAACCTTATCTAAAACAAAAATATAAGGCAAGCGTTACATTAAGCCTTTAGCTGCCGATAACTGTTAGAGGGTTAATCCTCCGATAGCGGCGGACATCATTGTCCGACACGGTATTCAATGTGTTAAGCTTATTGTAAGTAGAAAATTTCGAAAATATAAACGTACTTTAAAACCGCATACAAACACAACAGAAATGATTGATGCCAAACACAATTAAATTGAAACCCTTTACAAATAAATACCAATCATATAACGGTACAAGTGCACCGAATTATTTTATTTAATTCATCAATCCTATACTACCTGTCGCGGAGAACCTAACGGGTAACCGGGGCTCCGGCTCGATGTGCAGGAGAAGGAACGGGGTGGTTTTTAGTCAGTAAGAGTCTGACACTCCCTTCCGCCTCACCCAGGCGGAAGCAGTCAGTCGATGATTTTCCCCCCTTAAAATAAAAAAAAAAATTCTATACTACCTTCGTATAAAATTTCATTTCTAATCTTACCTGCACAAATCAGTGGAGAAAGATTGAAGGCGATCATTCTCAGTTAAGAAGGGTGGGAACACAGTACCGTCAGTGCCCTGGTACTCATTGCACGTGTCCTTCCAAATGGTCTGTTCCGTCTGACCATCCACTGCCACCACTTGACCGACATCCATCACATTCTTTATACCACGTTTGACTGTTATCACGTGAGGGTCTATTGTGTTGTTTCGCTGTGGGAGATGTGTTTAAATTTCTATTTGGTCTTAAGGACTTTTATCTTGGGAACTTGTGTAAATACAAGTAGGTATAATATACTTAGCAATGAATGACATATTATTTTATTCCATTTTTTTTATGGAATAGGAGGCAAACGAGCAGACGGATCACTTGATGGTAAACGATCAGCGCCGCCCATGGACACCCGCAACACTAGAGGAGTCACAGGTGCGTTGCCGGCCTTTTAAAAAGGAATACGCTCTTTTCTTGAAGGTATTCTATTCCATTCCATTCTATTCTAAACAAGAATTCCATTCTATACTCTAGGGGACCAATGTCTCAAGACATGTATCGTCGACATATCAAGTGACGTCAGCTGATTTTGCTTGATATAAAACATTCAATAAAACGTTGCAGTTTAGTTAAGGCAATAATTATTACCTTTTAACATATTATATCTAGTAGCTATTAAACTTTTATACCGATCGGTAGTCTACTCATTCAACATAACATTCAACATTTTCATAACATTTTCACTGTTGGTATTAAATGCGCGACGTCCACAGTGACGTTGATGTTGCCAGATATTTTGACCAAAGGCTGACAACGTCACCCTACTTCACCTAGCGTCGCTGGCGACACGTGTCGCTGGACATTTGTTACCTAGTGTATCCTTGGCTTATTTACTTGGCATCTTCATTGAGCATTTAAGATTTTAATGGCTCAACATTTGGTCAAAAATAAACAAGCTCTTTCAATAGGAATCAAGAATTATGAGTTCATTTAATTAAATTTAACCCTAGATTTTAATAATCAACGATAACGTGTCCTAGCACCCTTGCCGATAGTGTTTTTAATCAACTACATAACTCTAAATCATAGTTCGTAGACTACGTCTGTAGATGTATAGCTGTTAAAGTGAAAAACTCAAGGATATCTACCGTTCCAAATATTGAGAACCGAAATTGGTTATTAGGTTCCAAAACAAGTCCACTGACAGCTTCCTTCTTCAGTGCAGTACAAGTGGCCTTTGAAGCAAACTCAGTTCTAGCACAATTGATGATCATCCCTCGGAACAAGATGTCCATAGCTTTGACCCTCAAGAATATATCAGGAGGATCATCAAAGATCCCGTTCATCGCTTTGCCAACCATATTCAACATGGCTGGCTTTTCTCTCTGGACTGTTAACGCCATGCCCTAGAAGTAAAAGTAAAATTAAATGATGAAGTAAACTTTAGCACATAGTAAAATTTTGAGTAGTAGATACACTACCGACTGTGTTTTTACGAATAATTTTATTATGATAAGGTTTTTTATCCCATTGGGATTTGTTATTAATTTCGACCTTATTGAATTATTTTTATTGTTTACCACTAGAAATGGGTTTTAGAAAATCTCCAGAAAGCTTTGGAGTAGTTAGCCAAATTAAAATTAAACCTTAGTTTTCAAAAGTGCTTGTAACATTTACTTGTACCATTTAACTTACCAGCATAAAGACGTGTGGTATCACCACAATTTCTTCTCCTGTCAACCCTGGAGCAGTCAGCTCAGGGTTTAAGTAGAACACATCTCGTCTTTTATAAGTAATCGTATCATCTTCTTCATGATCTTCCACGTCTACTTTCTCTTTCCATTCACTGGGAATACAGATAATTATTTTACTTTCTTGTATGGATATGCCAATTCGAGGTACGGATGTTCGACTAAGTAAAAGTACTATTAACTCTCAGAATGTCACGTCAGTCACCGGCGTCTGACGTCACGCCTTTTATCCCCGAAGGGGTAGGCAAAGGTGCACATTATGGCACTAATGCCACTGTACAGTATGAGTTCCATGTAATAGGGGGTGAGCCTATTGCCAATTACCGGGCACATTTCCAGACTCCGTGCTACTACTAAGATTTTTTGAAATTCCAGTTATAATCAATCGACCCTGGAACCCTTGTCGCACTTGCGACCACTTGGCCAACGAGGCAGTCGTTTTAAACTTCGCAGTTAAAGTGTACCAGGTACCAAGCGTTAGTGGCTAAGGGCTTGGACTACTACCCGGTGCCTCTTTCAAATGCAGATAGTGGCCACCGAGGAGGTTTTAGTCAGGTAAAAATCCTATCCCCCCTAGTCCTTTTCCCCAAAAAGATAGGCGCCTTTTGAAAGTCTATAACTAAAGTTGATTATGGTCAAATGCTGCTGTACTATCTTTCGTATTGTTTATTTTCCATAAACTAAATAAAATATAATTTCTACATTTTAATTGTCAAATACAGATACGTCTTATGAAGGTAGGTACTTATTTATTTATTTATTTAACAAAAGTACAATTTTAGGATTAACATGTTGTTCTTATAATTATAGATCCTCGCCAAACATAACGTTTAACGGCGAGAAGCGCTCATTTCTTATTCTTACTAGCTAATTAAGTACTTTATATAACATTAAAAGAAAACTGAAATCAAAAAAAAAAAAAAAAAAAAAAATACACACTACAAAAGATAGAAATTAAAGAATGCATTGCCTATGCTCTCTTAAGCAATTCTCCCCTTAGCCTCTTCTTCAACATAAACAAACTCACCTTATTTTCCTCTCTCAATATATCCAATTTATTGAATATCTTTGGCACTATATATTTATTAGTTCTCTTACCATAGTAGTTTATTATTCTAGGTTTATTTAACATATGTTCTCTAGCCCTTCTGGTGTTATATTTATTCTCTATTATACATTTATATTCATTGCTATAGTAATACTCTAATCCTATTAAATACTCAACCTTCTTATCTATGGGCAGTATTTTACACAGTGGAAATAGTTTATCATAATCCTTATTGCAGATGTTTTTCTCTTTCTTACTCACTAAGTATTTTATCAGTCTTAATTGTAAATTTTTAATATCGTTTAAGTAAGTTTGGAAAGTACGCCCGTATACTAATAGACCGTAGCTGATCAGGGAGTCGGCAAGCGCGTGGTAAACCATCCTCATTGTGTCTGAGTTGACTATTCTGTGTATTTGGAAGAACTTGCCTAGCACTGAACGTAACCTATTACACACATCATTTACATGAGTTGAAAAGTTGAAGTTTTTATCTATTTTTAAGCCTAAATATTTAAAGTTGTCGACATATTGAATGGCATCACAATTACATCCCCATAATACCTAGTCATCACTTGTCGTTTACTATTCAAAAATAAAGATGTGTTTACTGTCAAACAGCACAAATTACATTTTTGCATGGCCCTGGACGTTAACATAACATAACATCACGCCTTTTATTCCCGAAGGGGTAGGCAGAGGTGTACATTATGCTACTGTACAATGTAACACCCACTTTTCACTATTTATCTTATGAGTACCACGTAATAGGGGTGAATCTATTGCCATATACCGGGTACAATTTCAGACTACGTGCTACTACTGTAAATTTTTTGAAAAACCCAGTAATACCTTGCCCGACCCGAGAATCGAACCCGAGACCCCTTGCCCGGCAGTCGCACTTGCGATCATTTGGCAAATGAGGCAGATGTTATTTCATAATATTTTCATAAAATAATATATATTCACAAAGAATGAGAAATGAATATTTCCCTTCCATCATAAAAGTATCAGTATCGATTTTAATGTTAGAATACTTAAATGCTGTAGAAAAATAGTAGGTTTATAGTTTATACTTTGTGGTATACCAATAATGACCTAGTATTGCAAAACAGTGGACGAGACAGCATATCATTATTTTTCAAGGTGAAATTATGACAAGAAGTTATGGAAAATATTTTTTTCTAGATACATACATATATGAATCACTTCTTCAGTACTTTAATACCTAGTTATTTTATAACTACGTAACTTGAATGCCTCGCCCGGTTCTCATGCATGAGGGTACGCGTTCGAAACCTACCGACGGCAAATATCAATGTGACTTTTTCCGAGTTCTATGCACTTTTAAAGATTATTTAGACATCACTGACAAACAGCGAAGGAAAACATCGCGAGAAAATCTGGGCTTATAATTTCTAATGATAAGTTTGAAATCGCCAATTTGTATTGAGCAAGCGTGGTGATATATGCTCAAACCTTCTCCGTGTGAGAAGAAGCTTTGCTCAGCAGTGGGCATTATAGGCTGGTAATGTGTGGGTGTGAGTATGACTTGAATGAGAGCTTACTACTCAATTCTTTAACTTCATACTCTTTTTTTACTTTTATACCCTATTTTCAATTCAAACTTCATCGTGACCATCATAGTAATTTTCCCGTTAACAATTAATTTGGATCTTATTATGAAAAGGTTTTTATCAGAATTTAATTCATTGTTCGACTTCAAAATCTCCACTACCTCAACAAAATTAGTACATAAAAACAAATATCTGCATAAGTGTTTAAGAAACAATATCATCTATAATACCTAACTATAGTAAGACATACTAAATTAACTAAAAATCGCGGGTTACTCACGTGAATATACTGAGAAAAGCTCTACTAGTTTCGAACCACAGAGGAGTTCGTCCTCATGAGTAGCGTGCGCGGTCGCAGCGAGAGTTTTTCTCAGTATATTCACGTGAGTAGCCGGCGATTTTTAGTTAATATCTATGATTATATTAGAACCGTCTACATAATATATGATGTTCAAAATAACTACTTGAATAACGCAGCTACTAATACTACAATTATCAAGTCTGTATTCGTCTTTGTCATTCAAACAGAATTCTATATCATTAAACCTTGGGCTTCCGTTATTGGCAGCACCCTGATTGTAAGTCTCTGGACAAAATTACTGACTAAAGTACAAAAGTGATTATTTGTTTAAATGTCTCCAATTATCAGTTAATTTAGCTAAGCGGTGTGTCATTTTTATAGGCCGCTGAGCATGAAAATATCTACGAGATGTTCTGTAGTCCTATATTCCTTTGATTATGTAATTATTTGCGCTTTTAGGCGTCAACCCGTCATGCGTATTATTAGTGACGTTTCTAAATTTTATAAACTAAATCATATCTTTTAGATGGAGTAAAAATCAAATGCACCTGGCAGTTCTTTTCGCTTAAATTCAAAATTCAAATTCAATTTGCGTAAATAAGGTACAGGTAGTTGTCATTTTCTAGTAACTTACGTCCTCTTATTTTGCCTTCAACATCGGCGTGCAAAGATAATGTAGGTACTTTACAGACTTATCAAAATTTTGTTATACTGCTATCTCAATGAAAATTATGAATTTTCAATTAAAATAATAATTTCAAAATTAAAATAATGAATTTTATAAAAGAGAAAATGTCACAAAATTAGCCCAAAATGTCATAAATGTCACACACAATATTCTATAAATGTCAATTTTACAGGGATGTCACACATATTTTTTTTTTTTTTTTTAATATAAAAAAGCCCCACACTAGGATTTTCTCCTGTGTCGTGGGTGCGTTTACAAACATACAAGTTCACATACACAATATGACACCCAGACCCGAAACAACAATTTGTGGATCACACAAAGTGTTGTTCCGTGCGGGAATCGAACCCGCGACACGTTGCACGGCAGCCGGTTGCCCAGCCACCGCACCAACCGTGCAGTAAAAAAAAATATTATAAAAAGATTACATTAATATGACATTTAAGAAGGCTCCTCAAATAAGGTAGTAGATTTTTTTATGGAATAGGAGACAAACGAGCAGACGGATCACCTGATGGTAAGCGATCAGCGCCGCCCATGGACACCCGCAATACCAGAAAAGTCGCAAGTGCGTTGCCGGCCTATTAAAAAGGAATACGCACTTTTCTTGAAGCTTTGAAGGTCGTATCGGTTCGGATAATATCACTGACGATAGATCATTCCATAAAAATATGATCATATCTAAGGTAAATGACAATATAAAAAATATTTTCACGGGTAATCCATTCATTTGCAACAGTGCTGATTTTAAAACCAAACAATGTAAACTCACTCAAAATGATAAGGCCCAATCTCCTTCAGGATTGGTACAGCTCCTTTCGCAACTTCTTCAGCATTAGTATAGTTGAATATGTACACCTTGAAGTCTAGAGGAAAGGGGATCTTCTCCCACATCTGGCGCACGTCCGTCTTCTTCGATAAAGCCATTTCCTAGAAAACAGAATAGTAGGGATGATGACGGGGTATGAAAATTAAAAATCTATTAAGTCCGTCTGTTAGATAATGAAAAACTATTAGACACGTTATTTTACATGTTTTTTACAAAACAATACTTAGATAACACGAATCGTATTTTAGGAGTAGGACTACGTCATTTTTGAGTATAAAACGTATACAAAAGTAACGTCACGCGATATTTCAAATCAATATATCGTCGAAAGTATTTTGTTTCCGTAAGAAAATAAAAAATACTCGTGCTTAGTCATCTACACTATTGAATAGGTAAATGTGTAAATAATGTTTCAATAGATTTTGTTAAAAGTTTTTAAACATATTTATCCATATTTTTTATAAAAGGTCTAAAAGTTGTATTATGAGAAAAGACACAACATCTAAAAGGCCAAGACCTTATAATCTAGAAATTGTTTTATCTTAAATTTTTTCCTTAGATGCTTCTTAGTCTGACAGCATAAGTAATCTCGAAGAATATGATATAATATCATCAGAGGAACGGCCTAAACTAAACTACATAACCTAACTCACTATACAGGATGAACGAAATTCAATAAGCCAAATCTAATTTCAATAGGACACAAAACAAAGTATATAAATTGCTTCGCTTCTTTATCCGTACGATTTTTGCTTTGTTTTGCGTATCCTAATAAATTTAAAGCTAAACTGGCGAACTCGGCATGCTGACATATAACATACATTAAGAATAAACAGGACCCTTACTGAACATACCCTATAAGACTTTTGACCTTGGCCTAAACTCGTTTTGGGGACAGACCTTAACTGAGGTCGAGACGCGAGAGGCTTACAAAATTCTTGATTGTTTTATTTCATGCCTATTTTGATCAGCCTGTATAGAAAACTATTTTTATTAAAAAAAAAATGAATAAAAATGGACCCAAAGAATATTGAAGTAGGATGAAGATTGCTTCAGCTAATAATAGTTTGGGATTGGGATAAAAGTTTTACGATGACTCGGGTAAGTAGACAAGTAATCTATTCAGATAAATAAAATAAAATTGTCTGTTTGTAATATTAAAACAACTGCATTTTACTCATACCGAAATGACATTTTTACAATTTTTGTCTGTTTCTCTGTTTATACTGGCTAATCTCTGGAATGGCTGGACCGATTTTGACGGGACTTCTATTGGCAGATAGCTAATGTACTAGAGAGTAATATAGGCTATTATATATAATATAGGAAAATTGAGTCATATAAAAATTATTTCAGTCATATAAAATTCAAATTCTACGCGGACCAAGTCACGGGCAACAGCTAGGGAGTGCTTTATAAGTAGTAGTATTAATTTTCTGAGTGCCTGGAGACTAGGGCTAGACTTTGTAATGTCTGTTTCTATGTCTATGTCTGGTTGGAATAGTGTTCTGTATTGCCTATTTCGAGTTGTCATAACTGCGAGACGAATATACGTTATACATTAAGTAGTTTTTAATACAAACTTTACTTTGAAGTGATTTTAGAGGACTATGACAAAATGTTTTAATAAATGATTATTTATTTATCTAGTGTATAAGAGATCAATTAAAGATACATAGTTATAAAAGTATTTTGTTTATAATACATAACTGGTTTTCATTGTAATTACACAATTAAAATAAATACTCTTTTACTCCTCTTTCTTTCATTTCGGTGAGTGTGTGAGGGAATTGCGCAACTTATGATTCCCCCTAGCCCTTTCCATCCTCGTACCACAAGACAATCGGCATCACGTCACCGATTTATGGAAGATGTACCACCTACACGCACGAAGCGCTTCGCATCATTCTTCTCTGCCAGAATCTGTATTCCCTGAAGGGTGTCTTAAAGGTCCGTGTAAATAGGTTGCTTATGGGACGACGTGCTCCATTGTAGACCGCATCATCGCTTACCGCCAGGCGAGATAATAGTAAAACGTCGTCTCATCAAATATATAAAAAAAAACTCATTTTATACCTTTTTCAGTTGGCTCTTTAAAATGGTGGGAAACAGCACCCATCCGAAGATGAGACCAAATATTGCCACTCCGCCAGCAATGGCCGCATACTTCAGCTCTTTGGGAAGCAGCATACTGCTTCTTTATTCTGCAAATAAAAATAACGTTAGATTGAAGATATCATATAGGCAACAGGGCTCACCCTCTATTAGATGGGACTTATAACATAAATAGTGAAAAGTGGGTGTTACATTGTACAGTTCCATTAAGTGCCATAATGTGCACCTCTGCCTACGCCTTAGGGGATAACAGGCGTGATGTTATGTTATTGAAGAAATTCTTTCACAGTTGACTACACGCGGAGGCTGGGCAGTTGCCCAGCCTCCGCGTGTAGCCAGTTGGCTGCCGCGCAACGTGTCGCGGGTTCGATTCCCGCACGGAACAACTCTTTGTGTGATCCACTGATTGTTGATCCGGGTCTGGGTCATCTGGGTGTCATGTGTATGTGATATTGTATGTTTGTAAACGTATCCACGACACAGGAGAAAATCCTAGGGTGGGGCAAAGTTTTTTTTTAAATGTATGATGTATAACTCAATAATTTCAAGTTATAAGTTAAGGTCATGAGCTTTAGACTATATTTTTTGGGAATTTGGATTTCCTAATAGCAATAAGAAACAATCCTAAAAATCGGTTCTAACTTACATGAAGCTTCGATTATTGTTCCTAGATTACATTTTTAAATTTGATTTCAATCTTAAGCTACATATTTTCCCAATCCCCATGAACCCTAAAACAGATAAGTAGACCAGACCAATAGACCAAATATACAAACATACATACATACATAACTTCACGCCTGTCTCCAATGGGGGTAGGCAGAGACTATAGAACGCCATTACTACGATTCCTTCATACCTCTTTCGCTTCATCAGCAGTCAATCTTTTCATGCATGCTCGTCGGTTTAGGGCACTTTTAATGTGGCCTTTCTTATATATCGCCAATTTGGTCAGTATATGTCGGTCTAAGACGCCCTCTACTGATGGCCCCATTCATATCTGCTCTGTATACTTTTACAAGCACACCCTAATGATGTATAATAATAATGTAATCTATTGCTAGACCACTTTCATTCAAATTGATAGCAGTTCTCAAGAGACTTTGTATGGCAGGCTTATTTGTCTAAGTGGACATTTTGAAGACAACGCTGATGGAATTAAAATGTGAATATAATCTAAACAAAAGGTCAGAGGGAGGTCTATGTATACCATTTGAGGCCTGTCATAAAATAGTGGGCGATTTTCTAAAAGCTTTAGTCGTAATTTGGGCAAAATAGTAGTTTTTAATGAGGTCTATTGTACTTGCGTCACTAAAGAAGAATGGTACACTAGACTTTATATTTTTATTGACCTCTTTTTAATAAGTTTGGATTCGGAACTGATTCTATAAGAAGGGATGGAGATGACTCGGATGACAGTAGCCTAAAAAATTATCTTCATTGGGTACTTGCCTCAATCAAAAACCAATTATTTCGACTGTTCAATACAATTAAATATTTAAATAATATCACACTTTCATTAATTGATTTTATTACTAACTTAGTTATAGTATTTTCCAGCAATTTTTTAATAAAAAAGTATGCTCTTTGATGCTAAAAAAACGTGACGTCACAATACACAATCTCAAACAAAATTCATCGAAAATTGTCTTTTTTGACAGTTGGAAAAAATTTTTGAATTTGACTATACTCGGAATTTTAATTCGATTCCAGATTTGACAATTTCAGTGTTGCAACGTTATGACAAGTACTAAATAGTGACGTTGCGAAATTATTCGATATAGAAATGCAATATTTCTGGATCGATTTTTCTCGTTTATAATTTTACTCTCATAAACTAAGGATATCAGGAAATTAAATATTTCTGACCGATAATTTAGTTTGGACGATTACTTAACGATCTGAGACTTTTCTTTTATAATTGTGTGTGAAGTAACTAAAAAAATGTAATCATGAAGGAACATGACAAATAAAACAGATAGATGTATTATGGTAATAAGTTATTTTATAAATTGTCACCGTCATCGCTATCGCTATCCTGTCACTTTTTGTAACATTTATTATAAAACACACACACTGATTGTTTATCGATTTTTGTGTTCATCACTACGCTATTATAATGTGGTATCATTATTTCACAAAATGACAGTAGCTATTGTCAAATCTGGAATCTAATTAAAATTCTGACTATAGTTGGCCAGTACCCAATTGTAGTAGTAGCGTCACGGCTTTTTTCATAAACCATCTGTAAACCACCAAAAGTCACTGAGCATGAGGAAGCACCTGATCTAAACTCTTCTCCTTCTACCAGGCATCACTTATTAGGGTCGTGAAAACAAAATATTGTCAAGTCTCACCTATCTTAGTTTTCAGGTTGGTAAACGGTCACCTTTAAAATTAATCACCCGCTAGAAGGATAATTCTGGTAACAAAAATGTATTCCACTCATCTGTACCACTGTAAATTTTACACGAGCAAAAACAATTTTGACCCTGATCATGGCAAAACCACATTACGGATCCTTGGAATCGATCAATCAAATAGCTGATGATGGCTTTATTATACAATTTCTTTGATGGGAATGAAAAGCAATCCACGTATGGGAAGTGTGTCATGGTTCACATGCACTCCCTTGAGAACGCCTACATTAAGCTCATGGCATTTACGAAGGCCATCAATGTTAATGTGAAAATTGCAGTGCCATCGATTATGGGGGGATTGTTAGAAGAATTGATTACAACGCAGTTAAAGAGGGCGACTTCTATTAGACTAGGAATAGGTGTCAAGAAAGGTGACACTTGTATTGTCACACGCTATTTTAATTGGACAGTGGTGAATGCTGTTTCAAACAAAGTGGTAATATTGGATTACATTGATTCTTGTTTATTTATTATTTTTATGCTGACACGGTTTTACGCCAATTACACACACACACATACAAAAAGAAATTGAAATGAATCAAACAGTTACAATATCAGAAAAAGAAGATAAAGCACTTAAATGAACGTCACATTAGAATAAATGAAAAACAAAAGAGAAATCAAAAGCTAAGCAATAAGTAAGACGCTTAATCTCTTGGAGCAAAAAAGAGTAGGACTGCTAATTGCTATTTTGAAATCGGAACCGCAAAATGGTTTTTCTCGTTTCGCAAAAAAAACTACATTTAATCAAATCAAATCAAATAATTTATTCGGTTGCAAACATGGGTTATAAAATATACAAAAGGTGTTTATTATTTATGGTATGGTTCTCCACATTTTGCCATTATGGCATGCAAGTATTTCCTTATCAATTTATCTACAAGTTTAGCTTATACAATCTCATACAATATACGTTACCAATAAATTAAGAATTGAAATAATTATAATTATTGAATGTCAAGAAAGATGAAATTAAAGGTATCATATTATTAATAAGTCAGTAAGTCATCATTAAGAAAGTCGTCAATATTATAATAGCATTTGTCAAGCAAAATCCTTCTTGTCTGCATGCTTTGTTATACCTACCTACATTTGCCTGATTATCTAATCACTAGTATTTGTTACTCAAAATTTGTTTATTATTTGTTAATCACTTTCGTATTATTTTTCAGTTCATTATTTTTTGTTGTATGGTTGCACTGTGTCACAAACATGACGCGAGAACTAACTAGTCTAAACCTTCACCATTGGGCCACCAAGATACAGGCTGTGCCTAGTTTGGGGCCCACGGGCACCTCTGCCGTATTTGTATCTATGTGAATGCTGTTCGCTTCCATGTCTACATGTAATCTAACTTGTGTATGCCAATAAACAAATTTAATTTAATTTAAAAAAAAGTTCTTTTAGCGTCTTTTTAAATTTCACTATAGTCATACTTTTCATAACATCTGGTACCTTATTGTAGATGCGAGGTGCAATACCAAAAAACTTTTCTTTACCAATGCAGTTTTACATGTCACTGGATATAATTTATTTACAAATTTTGTAGATACGTATTGGATTCCTCTTGACCTCCGAAACTTTTAGGAATAGATGTGGGTTAAACTGCAACAGTTCCTATTTTGTCACAAACGTACCAAAGTTAACCTCTAGTAACTTTAACCAGAACAGTGTAACTCGAACTGTTCCAAAACTCGGTAATACAGTTAAAACAACTTCTACAAGCAATGTCGTTGTGCATTCAACTTTAAATTGTAGTTAGCAAAAAATTCATGTACAGAGAATCCGTTCCACAAAACGCTCAGGGGAGAAGCGTTGCAAAAACGACTTGTTCTTCAGTTCCCGTTTCCACTATTGGGATTTGGGCTTAGATTTGAGTGAGGTTATGAACGATAAACCAAAGCCCAGTGCGGATTGGATAACCCCATTTATCATTCTTACACTAATGTTTAAGGAAAGCTTTTATAGCATCACACATTTTGTATACTGTACGTCAAGTAAACAGTATTTGATTAGGAACTAAAATATATTAAAAAATTTGTATGTAGTAGTACTTGTCTATCATTAAAAAACTTGGCAAAAAGGCTGCTTTTTTGGTTATTTCTATATATTATTAGTTCGAGGTATAGCATAAAGAACCTCTAGACACTTTACTAGTAAAAATATTTCTTGTAATACATACGTGTATGTGCGAGAATCAGCATTCTCAACGACCTCTCCACCAGGCTGTTATTGCCTGTCAAAAAAAACGACTGACGTTTCCATGATTGCATGGCAATAAATCAACCTTGCTCTCATGGGGAAGACCATGCAAGTATTATGGACAATATTTTGCTCTGAGTTATATATGTATGTATTATGTATATTAAAAAATGAAACTCCTGGGTAAAGCCATAAATCATATGCGCCGTCTCCATAAAGGGCATGTGACATAAAACTTGATACAATTTGAATAAGGAATAGGAAGAATATAATTTAAAAAGCACGGACAATTATAGGGATGTGTGTCTGCTGTAAAATGATATTTCATTTTGTAATCTTCATTTTGAGTTAGGAATATTATTGTTTCATTTAATAAGATTCTGTACAAAAATGCTGATTTAATGAGCCTAGTTTAGGATTCATATTTATTCCTAAGACGTAGGAATTTGTGAAATAATGTAAAGATTGCAAACCTTTTAACTTGGATAGGATCCATTTAACTTACATTTTAAGTAATATATTATGTTAAAGATAAGATATGTTAACGAACTCAAAGAACACGGATAAGCAAAATACAGCTTCGTAAGTAGGTAATATAGTTTTTCAATCACTTCTTTTAAAATTTACTACGTTTTTTTAACAAATCTAGTGCTAAATAAAGAAAATAAAATGTATATTGTCAATGCTAATAAAGGAGGATAATTAAAACCATAATGAACAATGTCGTGTGCTGAATAGATTTGTAAGGCATTATCTGTAAGCGGATCTATAATGCTCTGTCCTGACTGTATTGTGAACATTGTTTCATCTTGCACAATATTAATGAGCTTATTTACTTCGCAGGGATTTCGGTCGCTATATCTGCAGGTTACATCTAAACATTGCAACACATTGACAGTAGATTCAAAAAAATAACTCGTTCATTGAATTTCCAGTCTTGGAAAAGTTCATTGAGAACTTAACTTTTACTTTTTGAAGTGTAACGGAATTAAGTATTTGCTAAATGGTCGCTATTTTCTTCAATAAGTCTAATGACGTAAATGGAAGTCTAAAAACTGACAAGAACAAAATACAACCTCAAATTTCTAATCCCCAAAAGGCCGGTAACGCAATTGTACAGCTTCTGTTGTTCCAGGTGTCCATAAGCGACGGTGATAGCTAACCATCAGGTGATCCGTCTGCTCGTTTACCGCATAAAAGCATACCCAGACTTGATACGCTGTAGGTTAACTCCAGCCTATTCTTAAAGCAACAACATGAAGATATGGATCTCTATTTTCTATAATCTACGTACTTTTCACGTTAGCAATCGGTGTAGGCTTGATTAACAAAGATAACAAAGATTGTTAGCAGCTGGCCGTCAGATGACAGTAAGTTCATGAGCCGACGGTAAATAGTAAGAACCTTATCACTTCATACAGGTCGTACTCAGTACTGTCTATACCATAAGGGCATTCGGGGCCGGTGCCCAGGGCCCCGATCTTCAGGAGGCCCCGAAGGACCAGGAATTTCTACGACGGACATACACACGTTGCGCGGTAAACGGAAAGTCTTTGTGTGAATCACAAATTGTTGGGTCTGGGTGTCATGTGTATGTGAACTTGTATGTTTGTAAACGCAACCACGATACAGGAGAAAATCCTAGTGTGGTGCAGTGTTAAAAAAAAGAAACATTCCACAAGGGCCCAGAATTTTGAGTGGCCTAATGCCTCAGCGTAGTGTAAGACGGCCCAGGTCGCACTATTGTCTTTGATTGATTCGTACCTAGTGGGTCTTCAGGTAACTGAAAATTTATTTATTTATTTCTTTATTACTATCAAGCCATTGTCCATTTGACATCTATAACATTTGTTAAGAAGTTCCAAAAACCCGACAACAGATCTAACTAACGAGGTTAATGGTCCTGCGGATAGCGAGTATGGGTAGCTCGCCACCCGACCAGAAAACCAGACTTGAGCGTACGGCGCGTCGCGTTTCGCGCACGCAATTAAGATCCCAGATCACCATTTATAGGGACCATTGGGGCTAATACCGATACGGAACCGTGAAGGACTTAACGGGGTGCTGGGGCTCCGGCTCAAAGTGTAGGAGTAGGAACAGGGTGGTTTTTAGTCAGTCTGACATTGGATTGTCATTGTCAGTCCAGTCAAGTCAAGATGATGATTTCCCCCCTCAAAAACAAAAACACAAACAAAAAAAAAACGATGTGGATCACCATTACAGTGGAGTGTGGTTTGAAGAATGCAGTCAATCAGAAAAGGCTGCTTGAATATTAATGTGAAGGAACCCACACTATAAGTTCCTTCTCCGTTATTTATAGCACAGCGAATCCCGAGAACTACAACAAATGCGGGCATATTTTTTTGTTTCTATGTAGATATCGTATTTATTTAGGACTTAGGAGATCGGGACATTATTGAAATTATCAATGTAAGTGATGAATTTTCTAATACTTTAACCTATTCGATCGCTTTCTTATTTCTTCAAGTTTTGTTCTTCAAAATTAAATCTTCTAATTGTTTTTTTTAACTTTTATCATCTTACAATCTAAAAAACTTGGCAAGAAATGTGAATTTCCATCTACCCAATTTCTTCCACTTCTGTTAATGAGAAGAAATATTATAGGCATTGTTAATAAAAGATGGGTACGTACGTGCAGCTGTCCGTGTGTGAAGAAGGTCGAGGAGTGACTTGTGAATGTGCACTGCTTTTAATCAATGGGCGGGTCGCAGTACACCCACATGTGAGCTCCGTCCTTGGTACATATTTTTTATCTTGGTATTTTATTATTTATGATATAATTGAATTTAATTATACGAATTGATAATTGGAATTTAATTATACGAATGTTAACTTTTGAACTGATCCTGACATTTTGTAGTTTATATTCATATTTGCGATGAATTCATAGACATAAAAATATGTGATATTATTGTATTATTATTACATTACATATAACAGCTGACATTGAGAATTTGAAAATTTTCGTGCAATAGACAGTGGATTCAAATATTGAAGTTATATTTTGTATAATAAATGGAATGTAATTTTTATTCCAACTACTTATTTTTTATGGGATAAACCGGTAAACGACCAGACGGATCACCTGATGGTAAGCAATCGTCGTCGCTCATGGACACCCGAAAAACCAGAGACGTTACAAGTGCGTTACCGGTTTTTCGGGGATTATGAATATGAGAATTGTTGGGGATTCATGGATTGGGGAGATTTTAGGGGGAGAGGGGTTACTCACACGAAGAAACACAACGCAAGCGCTGTTTCACATCGGTTTTTTGTGAGGCCGTGGTATCACTCCGGCCGAGCCGGTCCATTCGTGGCGAATCATGGCTCTACCACACTTGAAACGATGTGGAATATTAACTAACGATATCAAGAATAACAAGCCAAAATACTTCTCCCATACTATATATCAAAATTATCATGAACAATAAACAAATTTGTAATTGTTTCTGTTGTTATTAGGCAGTAAAGTACTGCCTACACGTATTGTTATCTACCATCGACACGTGTAACATACAGACGCCTCTATTTATTCTGTCAAACACGAGGCTCGTACGCTGTAATATTTATGGGCAAATCTTCCTTATGTCGTTTAAATACACACATACATACATAACAACACGCCTTTTATCCCCGAAGGGGTAGGCAGAGGTGCACATTATGCCACTGTACAATGTAACACCCACTATTTATGTTATGAGTCCCATGTATTAGGGGTGAGCCTATTGCCATAGGTATACCGGGCATATGTCCAGACTCCGTGCTACTACTGAGAATTTTGTAAAAACCCAGTAATACTTTGCCCGACCCAGGAATCGAACCCGAGACCCCTTGCCCGGCAATCGCACTGCGACCACTCGGCCAACGAGGCAGTCGTTTAAATATTGGAATGTTTTAAGATTAGGGGCGAAAATAGTATAAGATTTTGTTGATAATTAATTAGGTAATATGTATATTTGCCTGCATCAATTTCTTCGTTGGCCGAGTGGTCGCAATTGAGACTGCCGGGCAAGAGGTCTGGGCTTCGATTCCCGGGTCGCGCAAAGTATTCGTGGGTTTTTTGAAAAATTCTCTGTAGTATCACGGTGTCTGGACATATGCCCGGTATACCTATGGCAATAGGCTCACCCCTAATACATGGGATTGTCGCGGAGAACCTAACGGGTTACCGGGGCTCCGGCTCGACGTGCAGGAGAAGGAACAGGGTGGTTTTAGTCAGTAAGAGTCTGACACTCCCTCCCGCCTCACCCAGGCGGGAGCAGTCATTCGATGATTTTTCCCCCTAAAAAAAAATAAAGCATGGGACTCATAACATAAATTGTGAAAAGTGGGTGTCACATTGTACGGTGATATTATTTGCCGTAATGTGCACCTCTTCCTACCCCTTCGGGGATAAAAGCCGTGATGTTATGTTATATTTTTTACCGTAAGAAAAATAAAGGAAAAATATTTCAATACTTTAAAGTCGGGTTTCTCGTTGGCGTGTACTAACAACGGCTTCGGGCTGACTGTGGGATATACGGCACGCGTCACCATTAAGGGGTGGTTCCAAAGAATTCCTACTTTCTTGAAATTCCTTGAAAGTGGTATTAATCGTGTGAGGACCAGAACGTGAGTAAAATCCTTTTCATTTGACCACATTACCTTTTGTTTTTAGTATTGGAATTGTAGAACATATGTTGAGTAGTTCCATTAGACATAAAATGTATCTACGACCTACGTGTTTTAGAAAGTAATTAGATTTTTTCTAATTGTATCTTAATTATAGGTACTTAAGACGTTTTTTCGTTAGGCATACGACATGATAATGATGATGTAGATGATGGTGCAAATGAAACTCAGTTTTCACAGATTTTCCTATTTAGATCTTTTTCTACGAATACGATTTTATTAATCAAGTCGTATGCCTAACGAAAAAACGTCTTAAGTACCTATAATTAAGATACATTTTTCGGGATGATAATATCATCCCGAAAACGCCAACAAGCGATAGTGAAAAAATAAATTTATTTGCACAAAAGTAAGGAATTCAATGTTTCTTTGATCTAATAATAGCTGTAATCAGTTGGTTAGAATTATTAATAATAATTACTTGAGCAGTTGCTCAAGACTGATGTTGCATGAATAAAATGAAAACAAAAATTAATTTTTATTTTAATGTCCGTCTGGTAGATTATTCAAATTCAAATTCAAATTCAAAATTTTTATTTCAGATAAAACATCCATATTTATGTTACGAAGTGAATCAGAAGATATTATAAGAGGAGAAGAAGAAAAAACTATGGTTTTCACTTCCCTCGGTGAATTACTACAGGAGACAGAATGAATTAAGCCTAAAGGCACAAAGAAGAGACTGTACAACTGGGTGAAGCCCAGTCGCCAAGTACCACGGAAATTTGACTAAAAACTAAGTGGGTCCTATGTGTGAGCTGTTATACTTGCTTCCAATAATAGGTATGGCAAAAACGCCTAAACACACGGAAATTCGTTCTAGATTCCACAAGGTCCGTATAATAAACTACACCTGACGAAACAATTAAATTATTTAACATAGTGTTACGTTCATATTGCCAGAGATCACACTCCCAGAGTATGTGATAGTTACCGGAGGCCCAATTACCCTTCCCTTCCCCAATCTCCCCAATCCCTGAATCCCCAACGATCCTCAAACTCCTAATCCCCAAAAGGCCGGTAACGCACTTGTAACGCCTCTGGTGTTCCAGGTGTCCATGGGCGACGCCGATTGCTTTCCATCAGGTGATCCGTCTGCTCGTTTACCGGCTTATGCCATAAAAATAAACCCTGTATAGTACTGAGGCCCTTTTGAATCCCGACGACAGTTAACCAATTCTTCCTACAATCGATTATTCAAAAACCACCCATCTATGTTTTAAGTCTAATTTAAAACAAAAAAAAACAAACATCATAGAACGTCCATCTACTTAACAGAGAAAAAAATATTGTATCCACGGAACCAACATTTTACCTATTTAAAAAAAATCAAATGTAAAAGAAGTGGCAAGCTATGGAATTATCTTGTCACTGTAAACGATATGGCGAGTCTCTTATTCTAGAATGTATAGACCTGTGATTTTTTCCTTTGAAGTCGCTAGTTAATAGAATCGGTTTCTAGTTAAAACTGTTCATATTTTATAAGCCCCACGTGTGCGTTGTCGATACCTCATATTTCTTTTCTCCTAGCTTTTTATTTCGAATACATTATTATGTAGTGTGTGTATATTTAAGTACAAAAATGTTGTTTGATGTTTTGTTAGCATGTCTATTTACTTAGGTAAGGTCTTTATTTCTTAATTTTAGGGTGACTGTTATCTTTAAAATTGCCATAACATATTGTGATCAGTTGCAATATCATGCAGACAAAATAATGACACACCTTTACACCAGTTCCTAAATTTAAAAAATGTGGTAAATTTTCGGGACCGCAAAATCAGGGTCCTCCGTTTCATCAAGAAGATGACACTTATCATAAGATCACGCCTTTTATCCCCGAAGGGGTAGGCAGAGGCACATTATGGCACGTAATGCCACTGTACAATGTAACACCCACTTTTCACTATTTATGTTATTTGTCCCATGTGATAGGGGGTGAGCTTATTGCCATATACCGGGTACAATTCCAAAAATGATACTACTGAGAAAGTTTTTTAAGCCCAGTAGTACCTACTTTGCCCGACCCCTTGCCCGGCGGTCCCACTTGCGACCACTCGGCCAACGAGGCAACGAGGAAGATGACTTAGTCATGAAAAGGTTTCATTGTATGGAACTATCCATTTAACTTGCCCAAATAAGACCAAAAATTATTGTTTATCACACATGAGAAAATTACGATTAAAATTACTAGGCTAATTCATTAATCTACTCTTTCCTTCAAGAACGTCGGTCGAGGGGACAGTGATAAAGTACTTAATAGACGTATCATTATTGTCCTTTTAAAATAACATACCATGGCTAAGCCCCTCCCCAGTGGGGCAAAATTATACCTTATACCATACAATTTGTATTTATTCTATAGTAAAGGGTGAAATCTTGGTAAATATTTCATTAAGTCAAGTTTTAGTAGTACCGTGATTTAATGTCTTTATTTGTTTTGATTTATGGATTGGTTGTGGTTCTTGTTTCTTTGTGTGCCTATTTAAGTTGTTGTTTAGTTTAATTAGATAGAATATTTTGATACAATTAAAACATTTTGGGGGCACGGTTAAGAATTAAAACATATTTTTTGTAGAACATATTTATTATAACAATCTTTTTCATAAATAGCAATGGTTTTAAGTGTGAAAACTATACATTTTAAATAAGAAAAAGAAACAAATGTTTTCTAGTAACGTAAACCAGCTTCATAATGAATAATTGGCGGAATGATGCAAATCTAGTTGCGGCTAAAAACCTCTTCCCATTCAAATAACAAAAGGATAACTAGTAGTTAGTAACCCTTAAGAAATTATTTAACTTTATGTGCTTAATATAGACTAATATTACACCTTTTAATGCCCAAAGGACTGAGCAGAGGTACACATATTTATCCTATTAGTTACTACAACTACAGTCACATATAACAAACAAGAAGAGAGTTCATTACAATGTTTTAAGTAGGTATAAGTAATATTATGTTAACAAATAAATAATAATTAGGCACACTTAGAAATTACTTTAGAATAAAGTGATCTATTTTATGTCCAATACTCATGAA